ACGTATTTTAAGTCAAATCTGCATGTCTAATGTGAATTTTTTATTACATTTTAATAGTCTGGCTGGGATGGAGGAATGGAGAAGAAGGGCTCTGTCATCCTTTGCCAGGCGGAGAGAAGTTGTCAACAGGCCGCGGGGAGGCGCTGGCGCGGCCGCAGCCCTGGGAGCCCCGTTGCTCTGGAGAAGAGCGATGCCCGCAGGGGGCTGAGGGTGTCTTTGAGTCAGACACCACCTCCCACCTAAGCCCCATTCTGTCCAGATGGGGACGTCCATCTGGCTTGTGACTTGAATGCCTTTTTCCTTAGGCTTTAAAAATAGCTTTCCTATTTTGGCTCGTTTGGGCCCACAGGCCATCTTCTCCAGGCCTGGGTGTCCCCTGGGGCTGCCAAAAATTCCCCCCAGAATCTGGTGATGGAATAGAATGAAAGCTTCGAGCCAGGAGTCCTGGTCCCGCCATGGATAAGATGACCCTGGCTGAGTCCCTTCTCCTCCCTGGGTGTCGGTTTCCCCATGTGTGGAAGGAAGGCGTTGGACCAGGTACGTGCTGAGGTCCATTCCGGGTCTGATGGGCAATGGTCTACTTCCTGCTCATGTAAGACCGCGCTCTCCGTCGCAGGGGAATAGGCGATTCCACACGCACTCACTTGCCGGCATTTGCCAACTCCCTCTGTCCCCAAGGTCCTGCTTTCGCACTGGGATCTCTCCTGCTACAACTTAAGCCAGCTCTTCTTGCTTTCTGTCCTTGGAGGACAGAGCACTCCCCTACATAATGCCTATTGTAGTCACTCCTCAAAGAGTGGAAGGCTGTTAGCAGAATCCCTTCCCCCACATGCACACACATTCTATTTTTAAATAACATTTATTTCTGATTCTAAAAGTAAGGCTATACCTGATCATTGCAGAAAAATTGGAAACAGACAAGTATAAAGGAGAAAATAAAAATCACCTATAATTCTTCCGAATGGGTAACTGCTATTAATGGGTTTCAAAAATACCGTATATATGCAGATTTTTTTTCTGTTATAAAATTGGGATTTTGCTGCAGATGTGGCTTTGTGTTGCTCCAAGCCTGGCCTTGAAATTGGGTGAGGTTCTTCTTTTGAGGCTCCCACGAGTCTGCTGTTCTTTCCAAGAGGAGAAAGACCTTGTTCCGTGGACGCGCGTCCACCTTGGTTCATGGGCCCCTGGGAGGCCCGGGGTTTAAGTTTTGACCACCTCTGAGTGTGCCTGTGTGGAGGACACTCCCAGGGCTCACCCTAGTGGGAGAGCATAAAGGAATGATCACAGCCCCGCTTCCCCCTAGATCACAGCCCTCCTTTGGGCTCTCTGTCTGCGTCAGTGACAGGGACCGCAGGAGCCACCCTTGGTTCCTTTCCACCGAGCAGCTGGAGCGCCTCGCTAAGCTAATCAATTCCCATCATTTGAGAAAAGAAAACAAATGTACGATTTGCTGCCCATCCTGCCTGCTGTGGAGGGGCCTGCATTGGTGTCAGACCCCCACCCACCAGCCAGGCCTCATCATGGGGGAGGGACTCTTGGATGGCGCCTGCCCTCCTTGGCCCGAAGACCAGGAGTGGGGAACGCCTGGGTGGCTGGGGCTCCTTGGAGACTCTGGGGCTGTCACAGCTGGAAGGACCTGGGCCTTAGCCACCCCACTTCAAGATAGGGGAGACAGGGTGGGACATACTCAGGGCCACACGGAAAGGTGGTGGCTAAGCCAGGCCTGGAGACGTGTCGGTTGACCACCAGTCTGGTGTGATTTCCCACGCGGACTGGGAAGGCGGTCCTGTCCTTTCTGTCCAGGGGTGGTTTTGTTGGCTACCTAACCCTTCAGTGCTTCCTTTCCCTTCCTTCATTCAATGACTATCTGCTGAACACTGACTTCTCCCTCCCCCCCACCCTCCAGGGTATTTTAAGCCACGGGAACCTAGCCAGGAACATGACAGGCAAGTCCCTGCTCCCTTGGAGCTCGTGTCTACCAGGCTGTGGGGCTCCCACTGCGGGGTGGAGTGTCTGGGCCTCATTTTCTGGTCACTTAAATCCAGCAAATGCTGTCCGCAGGGCATGGAGTCACATATATGGAACAGGGCCCCGTTGTAATTGTTCCAGTTGCTTTCGCTATGTAACAAAAACATCCCCAAATGTAGTGACGTTTAACAACCACTGGATCATGCTCGTGGACGCTGTGGTCGGGACAGGGCGCAGGAGAGCGTGGATTAGCTCCACTCCATGGTGTCTGGGCCTCAGCTGGGAAGACTTGAAGGCTGGGGGTTACTCAGTGAGCGGCGCTGGGATTATCTGGAGGCAGCTTCACTCAAGTGTTCACATCACATGGCACTGATGCTGGCTGTCTCCTACATGTGGTTTCTCTGCACGGATAATTTGGGCTTTCTCCCAGCATGGTGGCTAGGTTCCAAGCAGAGCCAGGAGTGTCCCGAGAGAGCCAGGTGGAAGCTGCATCTCCCTTTATTACCTGGCCTCACAGGTCAGAGAGCACTGTCCTGCCATAGCCCCCAGCCCACCCAGATTCGAGAGGAAGGAAGGCAGACATTCCTTCCCTGATGGGAAGAGTGTCAAAGTCATATCACAAGATACACCTGCGAGATGGCAGATATCATCGCAAGCATCTTTGGAAGATACAACGTGCCACACAGCAGGTTTGTTAGGAGTTTGTTAGGAGTCCCCAGCCTTTGGGGGGAAGTAGAGTATAAAAGAATAGTAGCTGTCATTTCCCAAGCACTTGTACCTACCAGGCTCTTGATCAGTCTGTTGTGTACATCACCCTTCCAGCAACCTCTGCGGTGAGTGCTGTTATCCCCACTCTGCAGGTGGGAAGACTGAGGTTCAGAAAGCCCTAAATCATACAGTTGGTGTCTGCACCCAAGTCCATCTGCCTCCAAAGCCATAGCTCTTAACACTCTGCTACATTGCCTATCCCTCCCTGCCCCTCAGTAATTTTTACCCCCAGGCAAGTGTGGTCAGCGTGGTGAGAAGCTTAGACAGGCAGCTGGGGGTTCAGAGCTGGGAAGGCTTCTTGGCAGATGTGACACTTCAGCAAGGCCTTGAAAGATGAGTTAGATTTGGACACCTGAGGGAGGGGGTGGTGTTCCTGGTAGAATAGCAAAGAGATGGAGGGGCTTTCCAGTCACCCAAGGAGTGTTGCTGTGACTCAGAATACTAGCCTTTGACCTCCCCCCACACGCACCCCAACACACTGTAAACCGTACTCCCCACAAGGCAGGCTAGGTCAGGGGCAGGATGGTTGGACTTAGTCCCCAGAAAAAGTGCACACATGGCCCCTGCCCTACTCTACCCTATTCCCATCAGCTTCCTTCTTCTGAGGCCAGGAACGGGGCAGAGGCTCCCACACACCTCCACGGCCATGGCCACGTGCAGACTTGGTTTTCCCTTTGGAGATGGGATGAGTCTGAGCTGCCTCCAGTGTGAATGCAAATTGGGGCCTCAGAACAGTTACGATCCCCTCTCCTCCTGGCAGGCTGGTGGGCTCACATCGGGGTATTGCAAACGGGAAGTTTAATTATCTCTTCAACAGGAATCTGGCATATTACAGGAGCAGTTCCCGCCCCTTCCAGGCCTCTCTTACAAGTCTTCTCCTGTGCACCCCTCCTCTCCCACCCGCACTATGGGGCCCCCTCCTCAATCACTCTTTCTGTTTCTCTCCTCTTTGTTTCCCTGTCTGCATCTGTCTCTCCCCCCACCATTCCATTCTCCCTGGTCTCTCTCCTCTTTCCCTGTCTCGGTCTCAGATCTCTCCCCTGTCTGTCTCTGTTTCCCTCTTTCCCCTCACCCTCTCTTCCTCACTTTCTCCGGACTGACGGCAGCCCCCCTCTTCCCGGACAGACCATCTAATTGAAATGGGGCACTCCAGAGAATGTTAATGGGGAAGGCAGCATTAATTAGCCAGCTTCAGCATAATTAGCTTCCTCCTCTCATTGCCTGGCATCTAACTGAATAATGAGTCTCTCTCCGTCCAGAGGGCAGGCAGGACAAGGGGGACAGGCCATGCCTGGGATGCCGGAAGGCCTACTGCCTTCAGGGCCACCCCACTGGAGTCCTCCAGCTGCCAAGCTCTGCCCTCTCCTGCCAGGCCCTCCTGCTGCTGTGCTCAAGTCTCAGGGAGGCAGATGCCTGGCCCCTGCCTGTGCCCAAAGGTTCGATGTTGCTGGAGCTGCATATTAAGTGGTCTGAGTCTGACAAACAGTGGCTGCAGCTGCAGCATCCCAGTGAGGGGGTGGGGAGCTATTGAGGTCCTCCAGAAGAGCTATGACAGGCATCTAGCCCTGGCACAGCACCGTGGGCAATGGCTGAGCATGTTACAGTCCCCAGAGGGGAGCAAAAAAACCTGCTTATGTGACAGATAATAACCAATGTACTACACAGACTGCAGAGTACTTGCACCTTTGACCCCATAGTCATGTGAGGTACAAATGGCCACTTCCACTTTATAGATGAGGACTCTGAAGTTCAGAGAGGCTCACTGCCTTGCCAATGTTCATACTGCCAGGACCCAAACCAGGATCTGTCTGATGCTAAAGTTCATGTTCTTTCCCTTGTACCCTGATACTTCCTGAAGATACTGTACAGCTGGCTCATTAAGTAAGAGTGGTTGCAGTGGGGTCACATCTTACATTGGCCTTGAGTTCTAAAATAAAAGAATGCAGCAATAATTAGGAAATATGTGTAGTCAAAATTCTCCTTGATATGCCTTACACCGGGAGAGACATCTTTTCTGTTTGCAATTGTGCTGTGATTTTCCTTTTTCTGTGGCCTTGAGAGCCAAGATCTAGTTGGGAGAGGTGACGGGCAAATAACAGGATTTTTCCTTTCTGTTCTGAGCACATGTGGGTGAATTCCGCTGGGTGAAATGCCTCCGTGATGCAGTTCCACTACAGCGTTATCAGGTGGTTATGAGTGGGCAGGATTCGTACCCAGTGCTGGGTGAATTGCTCCACGGGGCGCCATCCTCTCCTGTCCTGCAGGTTATGGACACGGAGGATGACCCCTTGCTGCAAGATGTGTGGCTAGAGGAAGAGCCAGAGGAGGAGGAAGGAGCCAGTGAGGCCTTCAGGGCGGCCCAGAAGCCAGGGCCTGGACCCGGGGCCGCAGGGCAATGCTGCTGGCGGCCCTGGACCTCGCCTTCCCGGCCCCCAAGCTCGGGCTTCTGGAGTACGCTGGGCTGGGCCTTCACCAATCCGTGCTGCGCGGGGCTGGTGCTCTTCCTGGGCTGCAGTATCCCCGTGGCCCTGTCGGCCTTTATGTTCCTCTACTACCCGCCCCTGGACATCGACATCTCCTACAACGCCTTTGAGATCCGCAACCACGAGGCCTCCCAGCGTTTTGACGCCCTCGCCCTGGCGCTCAAGTCCCAGTTTGGATCCTGGGGGCGCAACCGGCGCGACTTGGCCGACTTCACCTCCGAAACGCTCCAGCGCCTCATCTCAGAGCAGCTGCAGCAGCTGCACCTCGGCAACCGCTCGCGGCAGGCCTCCAGGGCCCCGCGCGCAGTCTCTGCGGCCCCACCGGGCGTCCCCCGCCTGTCCAGGGCCCCCTCCACGGCCCAAAAGTCAACAGCCAATCGGAGCGGGCGCCTTCGGCGTGAGACCCCGCCCCTGGCGGGTCTGGCAGCCAACCAGAGTGACGACCCGCGGAACCCGGGCCTGAACATGAATGGGCGGTGCCATCCCAGCATCCCGCCCCCCGGAGCCGCAGCAGCCAATCAGAGCCGTTCCCGCCGGGGCGCCTCACGCTGGGACTACTCACGTGCGTACGTGAGCACCAACACCCAGGCGCACGCGCACTGGCGCATCGAGCTCATCTTCCTGGCGCGCGGCGACGCGGAGCGCAACATTTTCACCAGTGAGCGGCTGGTCACGATCCACGAGATTGAGCGCAAGGTCATGGACCACCCGGGCTTCCGCGAGTTCTGCTGGAAGCCCCACGAGGTGCTCAAGGACCTGCCGCTCGGCTCCTACTCCTACTGCTCCCCGCCCAGCTCGCTCATGACCTACTTCTTCCCCACGGAGCGGGGCGGCAAGATCTACTACGACGGCATGGGCCAGGACCTGGCCGACATCCGCGGTGAGCGGGGCGCGGGCGGTTGCGGGCCTGGGCGATCCTGGGGACAGTGCGTGGGCCCAGACTTAGCCCAGAGCTTTGGGGGAGGCTTGGGCCAGGCGGAGCAGAGTGCCGGGCGTGGCCTAAAGGCGAGGTGAGAAGGGCTGGGCGTGGGTGTGAGGCGAGTACGAGCTAAGAGGGAAGTTTGGGCGCAGACCCGGATGCAGGATGTTCCGCGTTCTGCTGTGGCCAGAGTTAGAGAAGGCATGGGGATGAGGCTTGGGCGTGAGGTTGGTTAGAGGGAGGCCAGTGTGTAGTTATGGAGAATCAGGGATTTGGTCCGAGGAAGACGGGGAGCGACTGGGGTTGAAGGAAGACTGGGGCAGGGTTTATTTTAGGTAAATTAGGGATGGGACTTGGGGAAGGGTGGGGCAGGGCCAGAGGAGTGGTTGTGGGGACTGGGGTGGAGTTCACGTGTGCCTTTTAAGGGAGGACATGGGCAGGGCAGAAGCCTAAGAGGCAGGACTGGCATGATGACTTTGAGGGACGCCTGGTAGGAGCTGACCGGCTGAATTCTTTGGGCTCCCACCCCTCCTCCTGCAGGCTCCCTAGAGCTGGCCATGACTCACCCCGAGTTCTACTGGTACGTGGACGAGGGCCTCTCTGCAGACAATCTGAAGAGCTCCCTCCTGCGCAGCGAGATCCTGTTTGGAGCACCCCTGCCCAACTACTACTCCGTGGATGACCGCTGGGAGGAGCAACGGGCCAAGTTTCAGAGCTTCGTGGTCACCTACGTGGCCATGTTGGCCAAGCAGTCTACTAGGTAGGAAGTCTAGCTGTACCCCAGTGTGTGGCAGCCCTTGTGTGTATCGGGAAAGGGCTGTCTTAGGGTAGGGAATTGGGTTCCAGGTGCCTCTTACTCCTAAACACCATATCCCCTTCTCCACAACCTTTTCCGAAGGAAGTCTTCCCAAATCAGGGGTAGAGCCAGGTACATCCTTGCTGTCACTGTGAGAAGTGAAAGGCCCCTTTTCTCGACCAATGCTAATAGTGCACATGACAGCTTTGGGCCAGGTAGGAAATCCCAGAACTCTTGCCCTGGAGATCTTGGGTATTGATTTTCTCCTGAGATGGTGCTAGAGGTCTTTCTGGAAAGAGTGTTGGCCACTGAGTAAGGAGTTCCTCCCTGTATCCGTCAGGGTTCTTCAGAGAGACAGAGCCAATAGGATATATATAGAAGGATGTATGAGAGAGGATTTATTAGGGGACTGGCCTCATGTGATTATGGAGACCGAGAAGTCCTACAACAGGCCATCTGCCAGCTGGGTTCCCTGGGATGCTGGTGGCGCGGCTCAGGCCAAGTTCAAAAGCCTCAGAACCAGGGAAGCCAAAGGTGTAATTCTCAGTCTGGGCCTGAGAACATGGGCAGCTGCTGATGTAAGTCCTGGAGTCCAAACATCAAAGAGTTTGGAGTTCTGGTGTCCAAGTGTAGAAGAAGAATGTTCCAACTCCAGGAGAGAGACAGGGAATTTCTTTTTCTCTGCCTTTTTTGTTCTATCCAGGCTCCCAGCTGATGGGATGGTGCCCTCACTCATTGAGGTCGGACCTTCCCCACTCGGTCCTCTGACCCACACACCAATCTCCTCTGGAAGCACCCTCACAGGCGCACCCAGTAGTAACGCTTCACCAATTCCCTAGACATCCCTTAATCCGGTCACGTTAACACCTAAAATTAACATCACATTCTCTGCTTCTAATACCCAGGGAGATAGTGGGCAAGTCACTTCACTTCTCTTTATAAGTGTCCCTACTTATGAAATGGGACGATGATTCCTGCCACCCTCTAGAGTCATTAGGAAAGATGAGCTATCAGATGTGAAGGTGCTTTGGGAGTGGAAGGTGCTTTGGGATGGTACGTCCAGGAATACAACTGGTCCCTCGCCTCCAGGACAGGGCAGCCCTTCTGGGCAATAAGTGCAATGCCTTCCCAGCATCCTGCCCTGGCAGGCCAGTCCCAGGCACAGGAGGAATCATTCTGCCCGAAATACCCTTGTTCCTTCCATTGCTCGTCCATTGCATTGAGCGACTGCTGTAACAATCAGAGCAAACACTTGCTGAGCACTTACTCTTGCCACACCCTGTTCTAAGTGCTTTACACACCACCTCATTTAATCCTCACACCAACCCAGTGTGATGGGTGCTGTTATGATTATCTCCATTTTACAACTGAGGAAACTGAGGATCAGCACAATTAAGTAAGTTGTCCAGACTTTTAAAGCCCATCAGGGGTGGAATGGGATTCAAGTCTAAGCTTTCTAATCCAGAGCCCACACCGTTGGGTTTTTTGCTGGTTTTTGTTTTTGTTTTTCGAGACAAGGTCTTGCTCTGTTGCCTGGACTTGAGCACAATGGCATCATCATAGCTCACAGCAACCTCAAACTCCTGGGTTCAAGCGATTCTCCTGCCTCAGCCTCCCAAGTAGCTGGGACTATAGGCACACATTACCATTCCCAGCTAATTTTTCTATTTTTTGTAGAGACAGGGTCTTACTATTGTTCAGGCTGGTCTCAAATGCTTGGCCTCAAGCAATCCTCCTCCCTTGGCCTCCCTGAGTTCTGGGATTATAGGCATGAACCACCCCGTTTTATGCGAGTTGCTGTGCTAGGAGTCTTATCTCTGCCCTATTTCTTTGCCAGGCAAACTCCTGTTCATCTATTAAGATCCCACTTGGGCAACTTTTCCACAAGGCTGGATTTAATGTCCACCCTACCTGCTATGGTTTGGATGTGGTTTGTACCCACCAAAATTCACATTGAAGTTTAGTTGCCAGTGCAGCAGTCTTGGGAGTTGAGGCCTAGTGGGAGGTGTTGGGTCATGGGGGTGGACCCCTCAGGAATAGATTAATGCCATCTTTTGGGAGTGGGTTCTCACTCTTGCAGGGATGGCTTAGTTCCCAAAAGAGGGGGTTGTTATAAAGCGAAGTTCCTCCTCCTGTGTGGTCCCGTTTCAGACATCCTGCTCTCCCTTCTACCTTCCTCCATGTTATGATGCAGCACCAAAGCCCTTGTCAGAGGCCAGCCCCATGCCATTGAACTTTCCAGCCTGCAGAACCATAAGCTAACTAAATCTCTTTTGTTTATAGTTTTCCCTGCCTGACGTCTTCTGTTACAGCAACACAAAACGGAGACACTCCCTGTTTCCACAGTTCCCTCCCTTCTCCCTGCAGAGAGAGAGAGAGACACACACACACACACACACACACACACACACACGGATATATTTGGGGTCAGGTCCCCCAGTTCCTCCACTTATTATGAGTTTCAGGAAGCTATTTCACCTCTCTGAGCTACAATTTCATCACTTGCCCCTCAGCATTTTAGTTGTAACTCAAAGTGCAGTCCTCCAGTTAACAACATCAGCATCACCTGAGGACTTGTTAGAAATGCAGAATCGCAAGCTCTTTCCCAGACCTATGGTACTTCCAGGTGATTTGTTTGCACGTTAAAGTTTGAGAGAGGTCCGGTTTAGTTTTCTGTCTCAGTGGAATGTGAGTTGGTTGAGGGCCAGCATTGTTTCTGGTTCGTTTCTGTAGGCCTAGCCCCTAGCACAGTGCCAGGTACTGTCAGTATGGGTTTGTCTGAGCAACGAATGAATAAATGAATGGAGTAGCCTCAAGGAAAGGTACTTGGCTGGGTTGGGAAGCTGAGTGTAGAGGAATCTTCAGGGTTTAATGATTATCTCTGCCCACATATTCAGCTCCTGAGGCGAAACCCCCGCCCTTAGAAGAAAACGCTGCTCTTTCTCCTTTCTTCCCCCTAGAGCTTCGTAGCAGCGGTGACAACCAGGGCCCCTGTAGACATGACTCCAGTGCCTTCTTTTGTACTAACAAAAATTTTTTAATTATTCTGTTTTTGGTTACTCGAGATGACAACATGCACATTGACTTACTACAGGGTAATACAAATGATCACTTTTACTATTTCCCTGATAATACTGGAACCTTAGAACACATTCACTGCCTTTGTTGTATGCAGCCTTCTGCATTTTCATTGTGTGCATTTTAATCCTATATACATTTTAAACCCCATAAGACATTACATTACTGTTTCACAGAGTTTGTATTCATTTATATTTATTCACCTATTTACCTTTTCTGTTGCTCTTTATTACTTTCTACAATTTTATGTGTCCCTCTGGGATCATTTTCCTTGTGTCTGAAGAACTCTCTTTAGTACTTCTTTTAGTGCAGGTTTGCTGGTGATAAATTCTCTGTTTTGTTTGCCTAGAAAACATCTTTATTTTACTTTCATTTTTGAAGTGTATTTTTGCTGTATAGGATTATAAATTGGCAATTTTCTTTTAATATTGTACTCAAAAGATGTCACCCCATCGTCTTCTGACTTCCATCATTTCGTACAAAAGTTAGCTGTAAATCTTTTTTGTTGCTCCTTTAAAAGATGGTCTTTTTATCCTCTTTTAAAATTTCTCTTTGTCTTTGGTTTCAGCAGTCTTACTCTGAGGTATGTTGGTGTATTTTTATCATATTTGTTCTGTTTGGGGGTCACAGAGCTTCTTGAAGCTATAGGTTGATGACTGTTCTCAGTTTTAGGAACTTAGCTATTATCTCTTCAAATATTGCTTTACCTCGTTCTCTGTCCCCTTTCCTTTTAGGACTCCAATTACACAAATGTTAGATCTTTTCACTGAGTCTCATGTGTCTTCACTACTTCACTACTTTTTTTCTAGGTTTTATCTATTTTTTTTCTAGGCTTTGGTTTAGATATTTCAGTTTGCTGATCTTTTATTGTGCCTAATCTACCATTTAATGTCTATTGAGGGTTTTTTTGTTTGTTTGTTTGTTTGTTTTTGAGACAGGGTCTTGCTCTGTCTCCTGGGCTAAAGTGCAGTGGCATCATCATAGCTCACTGCAGCCTCAATCTCCTGGGCTCAAGTGATCCTCTTGCCTCAGCCTCCCAAGTAGCTGGTACTACAGGTGCACACCACCATGCTTGGCTAATTTTTCTATTTTTTGTAGAGATGAGGTCTTGTTCTTGCTCAGGCTGGTCTCGAACTCCTGGCCTCAAGCAATCCTCCCACTGCAGCCTCCCAAAGTACAAGGATTACAGGAGTGAGCCACCGTGCCTGGCCAAGTTTTAATGTTAATGTTCTATTTGTCTGTTGAGAATTCCATTTGACCCTTTGTTACCCATCTAAATCACTGGTGAAGTTCTTCATCATTTATTTTGTCCACATTCTCCTCTCTGTTCTTAGACATATTAATTATAGTTATTTGCCAGTTCTTATTAGCTAACTTTTAATGTATGGATCTTTCACTTGGCTTGGGGTCATGTGGTCCTGCCTATGGGTATGCCTGGTAATTTTTATTAAGTGATGAACGTTGTGTGTAAAAAACACAGAGGCTCAGGTAATGTTATTTCCTCCAGAGAAAGTTTATCCTTCCTTCCTTACAGGAGGCAGATAGAGTTGTGGCTGAACACCTTAAGCAGGCAGTGCCTGCACTGAGTCAAGGATGGTTTCCAGCCCTGAAAATTCTCAGTCTTCCTCTAGTTTGGCTTGGGTTCTCTGGGATTTTCAGCTAAGAGCCCGGTGTATTCTGTAGATTCCCTTCCTCTGACAAGTTCCAGTCTCTAATCTTGATCTCTCAAAGCTGCTAAAAAAAAAAACCCTGCATTCTGCTTTTTCAGAGGATTTTTCTGCTTAGCTTTTTTAGTCTTGTGCCCCACACAGCCCCAGTCATCAGCAGAAGTGCTGAGGGGAAACCTAACCATGTGCTCTGCCAGTCTGCAAGTCTCTGCCCAGGGC